GTGGTGGCAAGCGCCTGTAATACCAGCTGCTTGGGAGGCTGAGGCAGGAGGATCATTGGAACTCGGGAGGCAGAGGCTGCAATGAGCCAAGATTGCACCATCACATTCCAGCCTGGGCAACAAGAATGAAACTCCAACTCAAAATATATCAATAAATAAAATAAAAAAGAAAATACAAATTAGGCACTAATCATCTCTTATCAGTATGATACAAATAGTTACTCTTCAACTAGTATTAGTTATTACTGTTTGGATAAAAGAAGTGTATTTTTTGTGTAAACTTACTGACAAAGGTGTCTGAATAGGTAAGAAAGTATGCCTGAGTTTCCTTCTTCTTAACATATTATTATTTTCAGCCTACTTTTATTATAAGTGGAGGTAGTAATGAGTAACTAAACTGAAGGGGAAACACAACTGAAAAAGAGAAGAAAAGATCCTAACTATATGAAGGGTATTTTTTCTTCTTACTTGTAGAGAGGAAAAGATAAAAAGAAAGCAGTCTAAAGCAAGCAAGATAGTAAAGCACCCTATAGGAAAACACCTCCTTCACATATTCTACTATTTCCCTAGAAACAATAATAATTAAATGTCTTTTAAGCATGCAAATAATTCTTAGGAAGCCTTACCTTATTGTGCCTTATATTACTAGATCCACAAATAACAGAGACAAGGTTTCTGTCTATAAAGTTATGACTTACTTGGAGATAGAAGATGTATATACAAATAACTGTAACGCAAAACAAAAGTGGTAAGAAAATAGAGCTGACTTACTTCATGGGAAGGGAGGGGCTAGAGAAACCATTACTAAGCTTGAGGAAATTATGTCATGTTTGAAGGTGCCGATGAGTTCTGAAGGATGGTTGGGAATCCCAAAGAAGCTGACAGAAAGCATATATGCAAGCATATTTGGGGAACATGTCCAGTTTGGATGAAGCACAAAGTTTATGAAGGGGAACAGTGGGAGATACAACAGAAAAAACAAAATGGGTAAGGTCCATGAAAAGTTTTAGACAGCAATGAGTACATATGTCATTCAATAAACTAAGGGGAATGTCATAATCACAGCCATACTTTTGCAAGTGTTTATTAAATATCTGTTTTGGTGACATAAAGGTGAATAGAACCAGGAGCTCTTGACCTCTTAGCGGTGTGTCAGTTCTGGTCCTGTTTGACCTCAAATTCATCCTTGTCCTTCTGTTGCTCTCTACTGTATGACATAAAGCTTGACTCTATACAGACAATGTTTCTCGGGCTCTTCTGTTTGCCTGCTTCTGGCTGGGCTCAGTAAATAGCACAGGTGGGAAGTTGGAGGGCAAAAGGAAGCAGCCACATTTTTTCCCCCATTCCCATTCTGACTCAGTAGTCTCCTCTACGACTACCACTCCCTCATCAGACAAGTCTTCCATGTTCTATACAGTCAACCCAGTCTCTTGGTTGCTTCCTCTCTCCTTATCCTTCTGATTAGTGTAGTAGCTTTCTATTGTTGCTAACCACTGAGATGCCTTAGTTGAAAGCTGCTGGGCATCGCAGCTTTTCTCTCACCAGTGTAACCAATTATCTCATTAAATCCTTCCATGTTAAATACTCAGAATGGTTTCTATTTTTTGAATGCATGCTATCTCATACAGAAAGTAACAAACCTATTTAAGAAAACATTTACAGATGATAGTTTTGGAGGCTCCCAGAATTCTTGAAGCTTGTCCTTTAATCCAAGAATAAGACTACAGAATAAAAGAAAAAGTTTCAGAAACCGATGGCGGTGATGGTTGTAGAACACTGTCAATGTACTTAATGCTACTGAAAAAAACCAAACAACAACTCATTGTTTTCGGCTGTAAGAACTGCACATTTTAAAATGGTGAATTTTGTTACGTATACTTTATCAAAAAAAGTAAACAAACAGCTACGGTAAGACATGATAAGGTTCAAACAGAAGTACATTGCCCTGGCAACATTTAAGAAGTACTAACTGTACTTGGTAAATGAGGTTTCAGAGATCAGGTGTGACTTGAACCTTGAATGCGAGTGTAGTAGGAAAGAGAAGTAGAATACATATAAGAATATTCAGAGAAACTTCAATTCATTTGGGATGTCTGCAGCATATGGCAGATGTTAAGAAGTTGAGATCAAGCAGGAGAGGTAGGGAGGATCAGTTCCACAGAGCACTTTGAAGGATAAATGAATAAAAACTCAATTGATTGCCCAGAGGCAATAAAAAACACTGATGTATTCTGGCCTGTACAATATTTTGTGAAATCCCAACAAGACAACAAGGGCTACTTAAGTGGAGTAGCGAGACACAAAAGTTGGAGTGCGTATCCTGAAGGATAAAAGGTAGGTAAAGAACAGCAACTAAGTGGAACTCCTTGTGTTCTTTGAATAAATTTGACTTGTGAAAGAAAGGGTGACACACAACATAAGACAAAATGTTGTGTCAAAATGGGTGTCTAATGTTTAGTGGGGTCCGGAAAAATGTTTTGGGTGTGTGTGTCTGAAAGTAGAAAAACCTAATTATCTGAATACTAAGGGGAGAAAACTTACTTCTCTATGTTCAGCAATTGGCATAGTGTTTGGAACATATCAGGCACCCGAAGATTTGCTGGAAAAAAAAAACCATTATGAAGAGGTCAATAACAAGAGGAGCTGAAGATGGGGAGGGGGCAGATAGGAGAAGAATCATGAGTACATAATAAAACTGATATGAGAAAGACGTACACGATATATATATTTAAGATGTATAATGATAAATGACAAAAGTAAGAGCAGTAGGTATAAGGAGGCTTTTTTTTTGTACTGTATACTCCTGCTCACTTAAAAGTTTTAGTAAGAACACAATTATTTCAACTTTCAGAATAGAAGGTATAGTGTGAATGCTTCAGGGAGATGTGTATCAACAGTAAATAAAATGAATTGCAAGGACAACTATCCGGGAAGCCATGACAGTAGTCCAAGTGAGAAGTAATGGCAGGCACACTGTGGAATTGGTGGCAGTGAAAATGGAATGTGAATGACAAAGATTTTTAAGAAAACCATGGCTGATTTTTTTTTGTCCATTAAAAGTAGTAAGTCAGCAGAGTAGCTGGTTTATGGAGAAAGAATTATTCCAATTAGGAAATGATTCTGCTTTCTTAAGGTTTTGTAATTAGGAGTGATTCTGCCCTCCAGGGGACTTACTAGCAGTATCTGGAGACATTTTTCCTCATCACAACTGGGTAAGGCTAGGGAATGAGTGTCCTACTGTACTAACCTAGTAAATAGAAGCCAGGAATGCTACTAAACATCCTAAAATGTTTAAGTACAGGATAGTTCCTCATAATAAAGAATTATGAGGCCCAAAATGTTAACAATACTGAGACTGGGAAACCATGCTTAAGACTACAGTTACCGACACTCTACTAGATTACCAAACTGCCAAAACTCAGAATTCCTAAGCAAAAGATTAAACAGACATTAACAAAACATTAGTTTAAACTTGTCATTCTTCTTAAGCAAAAGATTAATCAGACATTAACAAAACATTAGTTTAAACTTGTCATTCGTTTCTTCAAAAATGGATGGTGGAACCATTTCCGTTTAACGTTTCCTGCAAAATGTGTTTATCAAGAGCCCTGCGCAAATAGCATTTTTGTGGACAGCGCTGGGCATTTAAAAGAGGCACAAGACAAATGGATTTTCCAAACAATAAAATAACGGAAGCAAATAGCTGTGAATACTATGGAAGGTTTCATCACAGATGGCTGCCTTTTACTTTTAGGGACGTCGCATACGATGTCTGTAAATCACTGGCTCGGGTTTTGAGCTTTACCTCCCGTCCCCTGTAGTACAATCCCCTTTATTCTATCAGGAGACAAACAACAACACAACCCTTCTCTCACAGACAATACACCCTGACAGACAAGTGATCCACAAACCACCCTCCTCAAATGAAGGTTAAAAAAAAAACGTTCAACTAAAAGGCAACCCTCTGAAAATTTTTTGCTGATCAAAGAAATAAGAATTGCTGTTTTAAAATATGCAACTGGCATTTCACATCTCTACACTGGACGACGTACTGCGAGGAAGAAAGAGAAGGAAGATCACCCCTACTCCCAAATTCGTAGTTATAAGGGCGGGTTATTAGGAGGGCGCCAGGAAGGTCTCCCTAAAAGATGGGGGGGGGGGGGGCGGGGAAGTCCCTATTTTGGTCCCAGCACTGACCAGGGAAAGTGCTCAGAAGGTTGAAGCACTCGCAGTCCGCCCGTCAAGCAGACAACTCTTTCAGGGATCCTAATTAAGTGTGGAGGCCTGACTTTCCCTCCGAATCCGGCCCCAGGTGTTTCTACCCCGAGCTTCCCCTCGTCCCTCCCCTTGCCACGCAGCCTCTGAAGAGAGGAGCATCGACATACAAAGAGGCTTAAATTGCCCAAGACCTCCGAGTGACGAAGAATCACCGCCAGTCTCAACTCGTAAGCCAGGAGGCAAAACCCCAAAGCTTCCCCACCCAGGGAAAACCTTTGGCCTTAAAGGTCCTTCCGTCCGGCATAGCCAGGTACAATACCCTCCTTCCCGCGTCTGCTCTTACCCAATACCAGCCGGGCTACGTCCGAGGGTAACAACATGATCAAAACCGCAGCAGGAACCACAATAAAGAACGAGAGTCAGGTTAAAGCAAACGCAGCGACAGCTCCTGCGCCGCATCTCCCGGTTCCAGTGGCGGCACTGAACCCGCGGCAATTTGTCCCGCCTCTTTCGCTGCATGCCAGCCAATCGCTTCCGCCAGAGAAAGAAAGGCGCCGAAATGAAACCCACCTCCGTTTGCCTTTAGAACTGTCGTCATTTCCGTCCTCACACTTGGAGGGGCGGGGATGAGGACGGCGAGGAAGGTGGGTGCTAGCCCGGGAGCCTGAGCCGAAGAGCAAGCCGCAAACGCTAGGTCGTGGGTCATTGGTGGGTAGCGCGCAGGCGCGTTTGCTCCTACGGGCCGAATGTTTTGGGGGCGTGTTTTGAGCGGGGAGACCGCGTGATATTTGGCGCGCATGGGCACACCTTGCTCTGCCGCCGCTCGGCCTTGCTTCTTCCTCCAGAAGTGGGCGCTGCGCGGTCACGCCAGGTTTGAACCGGAACCAGGAGTAGGTATCTGCGTGGCTAACGGAGAAAAGGAGCTGTGGCAGCGGGAGGAGGCGAGAGAAGCAGGGATCTGGGCTGCAGCCGCCGCCGCCGCCTTTGATGCCACTTTGACCTTCCGAGTGCAGCGGTAGGGACTGGGAAGCAACACAGCGGTAGGGACTGGGAAGCAACGTAGCGGCGGGGGCGCAGAAGCAACGCAGCGCCTTCTGCGTTGTAAAATTCAGCCGCGTGCCACCCAGTCTGTCTTCCAGACGCCCAATCCCATGCACCTCTCCAGAGTGGCCCTTGACTCGTCCTCGCTTCATCTTTCTCGGCCTTTCTCTGAGTTCCTAGCGGATTTGGCCAATAACCTCCTTTTAAGTGCCCTGAAATGCACCTTCCCTTCTGCGCATCCTTTTTTCGTGTCACGTTAGGGTTCAGATTTAACTACGAGACTTGACTAGTCATCTTTTGATCTCTCTCTCATAATTAGTACTTTTAGTCAGCGAGCATTTATTGATATTTCAACTTTAGTTCCGCGGTTAAGCTTGGGCCGTGGAATCATACGGCTGGAGTTACAGCCTGTCATCCGTGTGGCCTCGCTCTACTGTCTAACTTGTGAAGATAAGTGAGATAATCTTGACCTGTGGTGAGCACTCGTGAGCGTTAGTTGCTATTTTTGCCAGGTACAGATAAGTAGAACGACAACTACAGTGGATTTTAATGTATCTGATAGAGGAGTCCTGTTATGGTCGAGGAGTGACTGGTTCTTTACAAACTCACCCGAGACTATCAATTCAGTTTGTGGTGAGACTTCGCAGTGTTACCTTGGCGGATGGTAGAAGCCTTCCAGATGGAAGGAAAAATGGCGTGTAAAGGCACAAAGTGTAGAAGGACCCTGAAGCTCTGGAGTGAGTTCTGGCATTGAATGAAATATATTTTGCGGGCTTTCAACTGTTGCGGTTATAGGAATGGATGAGATCAAGAAGACAAAGCTGTTCTTTGGGGTGTGAGTGGAAGAACCATCAAAGGAGACTTTCGAAACAGTGATAAAGGAAGGGAGTATGATCATTGTTAACCTTTATTGAACATTTGCTGTGTTTCAGGCACTGTAACCATGTATATGGGTCCTTATAAGAACTCTTCGAGGTAGGTACTAGTATCGTTTTTGATTTTATCATTGAGAAACTGAGGTTTGAAGAGATGAATGAAGTTGTTTTAGATGATACAGTTTGTAAGTGGCGGAACCAGGATTTGAACTAATACAATCTGACTGCAGAGGCCACACTCTTTGGCACTAGAAAAGAATGGCATGCTAAGGAGAGAGTTATTTCTAGGAAGATGGGATATAAGCATCATTGTCAGGTTCTGCAAAGGGATCAACTTGGTTGAGATCTGAAAAGGAACATTGAATTTATCAATTCAGAGGCATAAGGAAGTAGGAAATCTGTGTCTTCTCATTTGAACCTTGAGTGGAACTTAGAAATTCTGAATTAATGTATAAATGAAGTTCATCTTTATATGGTGACACTCATACTCTAGTTGACTACTTAATAGTTCCTCTACCTTCTTTCAGTTCTTCCAACATACTGTGTACTTTTACATTGTGGAACCCTTTGGCTATGCTAGTCTCCTTCCCTGAAGTGTTGGTCCCCCTTTATTTGATTGGCACCAGTTAGTTCACATCTTGGCTTTATTATAACCTCCTGTGCAAGATGTTCCCTGACAACTCATCTAAAATGATCCTCTCTACTGTTATTTTCTATTACTGTATTTTTGTTTCCTCAGAGGCATACATCATAATTTGGAATTCTGCATTGATTTATCAGTTATTTATTGTCACTCTGCTGCCCAGATATACCTCCATGAGGGTAGGATTTGTATCTGTTTAGTTCATTATTTGTCTAGATATACGTAGTAAATATTGTTTGCATGTATCAGTGACTGAACATCTTCTGTTTATGTAGATAATACTGAACTATTTTGTTTTCTTCAGAGTAATCATTAAGAGACAAGGGAAGAAAAACAAGTTCAAGGAAGTCACAGCGTGGGGAAAAAAAAGTCAAGGTTAGGGCTGCCTCTTCTGGGAAGTGTCAAATCTTTAGTATATTTAAGAATAAAGGTGTCATCCCATATGGTTCTTTGGATATTGCTAAGGTGTTTCCATTGGTTAGATTAACAGTTTCATTTTCCTTGTTGACTCAAGAGGGCTTTAAACTGAGACTGAAGAAGTAGGAAGAGTCCTAGATAAAACCATAAGGAATGTAAAAGCAAAAATGACAACACTTGTCCACAGGAAGTATATAATCAAATGAAAAAGACTCAAATAACAACCTGTAATCTACAGCAGAGTAAAGGGGAGGTTGTAATAGTGTTGAGGGTTTGGGGGAGATCAGAAGAATGACCAGTGAATACAAATGGAGAAGAGAATGATGCTTTTTGTTTTTTGAGACAAGAGTCTCACTTTGTCACCCAGGCTGGAGTGCAGTTGTGCTATCTCGACTTACTGCAACTTCTGCCTCCTGGGATTGAATGATTCTCCTGCCTCAGCCTCCCCAGTAGCTAGGATTACAGGCACGTGCCACCACACCCGGCTAATTTTTGTATTTTTAGTAGAGATGGGGTTTCATCATGTTCGCCAGGCTGGTTGGTCTCAAACTTCTGACCTCATGATCTGCCCACTTCAGCCCCCCAAATTGCTGAGATTACAGGCGTGAGCCACTGCGCCCAGCCCTGATAGACAGCTCTAGAATGTTCAAAGACAGGGCATTTATTTCGTTATGAAGAGGGAGACCCAGGCATCTCAGATCAACTTCCCCTTTTATTCCTAAAACGGTAAACTTCCCATTTTCATTCCTAAGACTGTAAACTGAAACCCAGAAATCCGTTTCCCGCAGCTGCTCCTGCTACATTTTTGGTGCATTGGCCAGGAAGCAAGTCTCGGATAGCAGACGGCGGGAAAAAGTCTCTTAGGTGGTTTGCCTAGCCCTGTGGAGCATCCCTGCAGGGGGACTCCTGCTCGCTGGGGTGGCTCATCCTGAGAGTGCTCCTGGGCAGGTATTTGCCTGGTGGAAAAGCCTCGCCAGAGCAGAGCAAGGAGGCCCTGCAGTGCGGATCCACCCAGTGGCTGAATACTGAGGAGGAATGAGCATTTGGGGAAGTCTGGACCACTGAATTTGGTAAGATTGAACCCGGGAAGATAGCCCACCCCATTTTTGGTGGAAGCATGGCCTGATCACCCACGGGTGCCGGATCGACACTTTGGAAGGTAGCTCTCTGTAACCTTGGAAGCTTTTGCTTATGGTTTTGAATTGGAAGGAGAGCAATCGGATGTGTGTCTGTGTGTGTAGATGTGTCCAGCTGGACTCATCAGTCGTAAAAGGTATTGGGCACATTAGGAAGGGCCTCATGTGTCGAACAATTTGTAAGAATTAAAGACAGCCACATAAGGCTAAGTGAAGAAGCTTCTGGGTGTTGTGAAAGGATTGAAGTGGATGTAAATTGGAGAGTGCTCTTTGCTGCGTCTTGCTAGGCAGGAACTGCTGTGAGTGAACTAACACTCTCCTAAGTGTGGGAATTATTTCTTTGAATTGTTAATGTGGGTCACTCCCATTGCAAGCCCACCCCTTTAGAAATCATGCTGAAACATTTCAAGAAGACATTTAGTGGGAATTATAAAGTAACTATGACACCAGATAAACTAAGGGTTTTATATAGGGAAGACTGGCCAGCATTTGGGGTCGGTTGGCCCCCAGAGGGAACCGTAGTCAGGTCCCTTGTCTCCAAAGTAAGGCATGAGATTATATATGGCGAACTAGAACACCTCGACCAATTTCCGTACATAGACTCATGGTTGCAGTTAGTTTTGAACTCTCTGAAGTGACAGCAGGTAGCAATTATTTTAGTAGCCAAGGGACAGACTGCTAGAAACCACCATCCCCCTTGCCACTGAGAGACGCGGACTCCTAAGGCCCGGGCAGATTCAGGGGTAGGAACAACTCCCAAGGTTTTGGTCGACCCAGCGGCAGAAGAGGTTTTGTCGATAATGCCTCCTCCTCCTCCTCAAGGACTCACTGCCCCTGGGCTGGAAGCCTCGGCATCCCCACCAGAGCTGCGCACCCCTAAATGCCCCAGAGTAGGCAAAAGAGAATGTGGAAAAACTCTACCCATTGCCGTCTGCTTCCCAGAGGGAACTCCCTCTCTAGCAGCTCATCTTCAACCCAAGGCCAGGGTGCAGATGCCTTTGAGAGAGCAGAGGTATACAGGAGTGGATGAGGATGGCCACATGGTAGAAAAACGTGTTTTCACGTACCTGCCGTTCACCTCAGCTGATCTTATCAATTGGAAAAATAACAACCCACCTTATACCGAGAAACCCCGGGCTCTTATTGAGCTACTGCAAACTATTATTCAGACTCAAAACCCCATTTTGACTGATTGCCATCAGCTGCTCATGCATCTTTTTAACATGGACGAAAGGTGGAGAATACTCCAAGCCGCTTCTAATTGGCTGGAGGAGCATGTTCCTGCAGATTACCAGAACCCCCAAGAGTATGTCAGGGTCCACTTACCAGGAACTGATCCCCAGTGGGATCCAAACACCACGGAGGGCATGCAAAGGCTAATCCGCTACAGAGAAGCCTTGCTGGACGGATTAAAAAAAGGGGCCCAGAAAGTTACAAACATTATAAAGTCTCTGAGGTTCGTCAAGGAAAAGAGGAAAGCCCTAGCCAATTCTGTGAAAGACTGTGTGAAGCTTACTGCATGTACACTCCTTTTGATCCTGAGAGTCCCGAAAACCAGCGTATGATAAATATGGCATTAGTCAGTGTGCAGAAGATATTAGACGAAAATTGCAGAAACAGGCAAGATTTGCATGCATGAATACTTCACAGTTATTGGAAATAGCTAACCAGGTGTTTGTAAACCGAGAAACGGTGAGCCAGAGGGAAAGTTGTAAAGAAAGGGAACGTCAGGCTCAATGGAAGGCTGACTTAATAGCTGCTGCTATGAGAGGAATACCCCCAAGAGCGTGGAAAAAGGGGGGTTCCTGGAAAGCCCCACAGTCTGCCCGCCTGTGCCTGCAACATGATCAGTGTGCATTTTGTCAAGAGATAGGACATTGGGAAAAAAAAAAGGCCCTTAATGGGAGAACAGGGCGATCCTAAGCACGAGGATCCAAATAAAAAGTGAAGGGGCTCTGTTAAATCTAATGGAAGGGCCACTTGACTAAAAGAGAGGGGGGCTGGACTCATATGCCCCCAAAGAGCCCACAGTCCGGACGACAGCCCTGTAACCCCCCGTGGAAAAAACAGAACCGATATTGTTGGAGCTACTGGGGTGTCAGAAAAACAATCTTTTTGTTTGCCTCGGACTTGTGAGCTGGGGGGGCACGAGGTGATTCACCAGTTCTTATACATGCCTGATTGCCCTTTGCCCCTGCTAGGAAGTGATCTGCTCAGTAAGTTACGAGCGACCCTAACCTTCACAGAGAATGGCATCTTACAGTTGGCATTGCCTAAATCTGGGGTCATAATGGCCTTCAGGGTGCTTCGTGAGAAAGAGTGGAGACTCTTCTTAACCCAACCAGACCAGGAAATAGAGCCTGAGTTAGCAAAACTATGACCTAAGGTCTGGGCAGAGGACGATCCACCTGGGCTGGCAATTAACCAGCCCCCTGTACTCATTGAAGTCAAGCCTGGTGCTCAGCCGGTTAGACAAAAGCAATATCCAGTTCCCCAAGAGGCACTAGAAGGCATTCAGATCCATCTAAAATGCTTAAAGGACTATGTAATTATAGTTCCTTGCTAGTCTCCATGGAACACCCCCCTCTTGCCTGTTCTCAAACCAGGGACCAAAGACTATAGGCCAGTACAAGACTTGTGCCTGGTCAATCAGGCCAGTGACTTTGCACCCAACTGTGCCTAATCCATATACACTGCTGGGATTATTGCCAGCAGAGGATGGTTGGTTCACCTGCTTGGACTTAAAGGATGCTTTATTTAGCATCACACTGGCTTTTGAAAGTCAGAAGCCATTTGCCTTTCAATGGGAGAATCCAGAAACAGGTGGGACCACCCAGTACACCTGGACCTTGCTCCCCCAAGGGTTCAAGAACTCTCCTGCCATCTTTGGGGAGGCACTGGCCCGTGACCTCCAAAGGTTTCTGGCTAAAGACTTAGGCTGCGTCCTCCTTCAATATGCTGATGATCTATTATTGGGACACCCCACGGCAGTTGGGTGCGCAAAAGGTAGTGATGTCTTACTTCGGCACCTGGAGGACTGTGGGTATACAGTGTCTAAAAGAAAGCCCAGATTTACTGACAGCAAGTAAAGTATCTGGGGTTTAACATCCAGAAGGGGAAACGCAGCCTAGGAACAGAAAGGAAGCAAGTAATTTGCGACCTGCCAGAACCCAAGACTAGAAGGCAGGTGTGGGAGTTCCCGGGAGCCGTGGGCTTCTGTAGATTGTGGATTCCAAGCTTCACAGTACTAGCCAAACCCCTCTATTATGTGATGAAGGGGGGATACAAGGAGCCCTTTGAATGGGGATCCCGGCAGCGTCAGGCCTATCAGGAACTGAAAATGAAACTAATGTCAGCTCCAGCTTTGGGGCTGTCTGATTTAACAAAGCCCTTCACATTATATGTGGCAGAAAGAGAAAAAGTGGCAGTTGGGGTCCTAGTCCAAACAGCAGGACCTTGGCCCAGGCCTGTAGCTTACCCCTCCAAGCAGCTGGACGGAGTTTCCGAAGGATGGCCCCCATGCTTAAGCGCCCTGGCAATAGCTGCTCTGCTAGCACAAGAAGCAGATAAGCTAACTCTGGGACAGAACTTAAATATCAAGGCACCTCGTGCAGTAGCGAATCTAATGAATACCAGAGGGCATCACTGGTTATCAAATGTCAGGCTGACCAAATACCAGGGCCTGCTATGTGAAAATCCCCGCATCACCATTGAAGTCTGCAACACCTTAAACCCAGCCACTCTGCTCCCAATGTCAGAGGGTCCGGTTGAACACACCTCTGTTGAAGTCCTGGACAGAGTCTATTCCAGTAGGCCTGATCTTTGGGACCAGCCATGGACAGTGGTAGAATGGGAGTTGTATGTGGATGGGAGCAGCTTTGTCAATCCACGAGGGGAAAAATGTGCAGGCTACGCCGTGGTAACTCTGGACACTGTAATTGAGGCTAAATCCCTGCCTCAGGGCACCTCGGCTCAGAAGGCTAAACTCATCGCTTTAACTCGAGCCACAGAGCTGAGTAAAGATAAGGTTGTAAACATTTACACTGACTCTCGATATGCCTTCCTGACTCTCCAAGTACATGGAACACTGTACAAAGAGAGAGGCCTGTTAACTTCAGGGGGAAAAGAAATAAAGTATTAGCATGAAATTTTGCAGCTGCTAGAAGCGGTCCGGAAGCCCCGGAGGGTGGTGGTCATACATTGCCAAGGACATCAGCAGACCCCCACCTCTGTGACCCTGGGAAATTCCCGAGCTAATGCAGCAGCTCGTAAGGCGGCATCTACCCCCTACCAAACGGCAGTTACAGCCCCGCTGATTCCCCAGATCCCTGATCTAACACCTACTTACTCTAAGGAGGAAAGAGACTTTCTCCAGACAGAAGGGGGGCAGCTGATTAAAGAAGGATGGATCCAACTGCCAGATGGAAGAATAGCAGTACCACAGCTGCTGGGGGCAGCAACTGCAAGCCGTACATGAGACCGCTCATTTAGGTCAAGAGACGCTTGAAAAGATGTTGGGCCGGTACTTTTACATCTCACACTTAGCAGCCTTGACCAAAACTGTGGCACAGCGATGCATTACATGTCGGCAACACAACACAAAGCAGGGTTCAACTATTCCCTCTGGAATTCAAGCTTATGGAGCTGCTCCGTTTGAAGATCTCCAGGTAGACTTTACTGAAATGCCCAAGTGTGGGGGACATAAGTATTTGTTGGTCCTGGTGTGCACATACTCTGGGTGGGTAGAGGCCTTCCTGACTAGGACTGAAAAAGCCCATGACGTAACCCATGTGCTGCTTCGAGATTTTATCCCTAGGTTTGGACTACCACTGCGCATCGGATCAGACAATGGACCAGCATTTGTGGCAGATTTAGTTCAGAAAACAGCAACGGCCTTGGGTATCACCTGGAAACTGCACGCTGCCTACTGACCTCAGAGTTCCGGAAAGGTGGAAAGAATGAACCGGACCATCAAAAACAGCTTAGGGAAAGTGTGTCAGGAAACAAGATTAAAGTGGGTGCAGGCACTTCCCTTGGTGTTATTCAACATTAGATGCACCCCCTCTAGGAAGATAGGATATTCCCGTTAGGAAATCTTATATCATAGGCCCCCTCCCATACTCCAGGCACTCCCGGGAACTCCTCAGGAGTCGGGGGAGATTGAGTTAGGACGCCAGTTACGAGCTCCACGGAAAATTGCCCAAGGTATTTCAATCTGGGTGAATGACAAATGTCCTGTAAGCCTTTTTCTCCCCAGCTCACCCTTTCTCACTAGGTAATCACGTGTGGGTAAAGGACGGGAGTACAGCCCCTCTAAAGCCACAATGGAAAGGACCTCAGACCTGATCCTAACCAATCCCACAGCCGTGAAGATAGAGGGAATCCTAGCCTGAATCCACCAAGGCAAGGACTGCAGAATCACCTTAAAAAAGGACAACAAGCCTTGCTCCAGCCATATCCGGGAAGCTGGCTGGTCCATGCATGGCCGAAGCATGAGGAGATTCATCGCGGGACTTGTTCTTCTTAATATTTGGACTTGCACAGTAGGAACATTAACTAATTTTAAAGAATGCCCTCAGTACGTACACCAGGTAGGACGTAAAAGTTACTGCCTTTCTTTTGTCCTGTAGTTCTTATGAATGTACGGGGACACAGAAGAAAATCTGCTTATACAGTGGTACTCAATATAAGGTGTGTAATCCGTGAGATGGACAGGTAGCTGTGTCATAGGCATCATTAAGCCCTGTTTCTTCCTATTATCTGTTAAGACAGGTGAGCTGTTAGGGCATCCAGTCTACTCTGCTAGGGAGAAGAGAGACCTAAAACTAGGGGATTGGACAGATGATGAGTGGCCACCAGAGAGAATTATTGAGTACTATGGGCCAGCCACATGGGCTGAGGATGGCTCATGGGGATACCGGACCCCTATTTACATGCTCAACCGGATCATCTGGTTGCAGGCTGTTTTGAAAATACTCACTAATGAAACGGGCAAAGCTCTATCCCTCTTGGCCCGACAAGAAACTCAAATGAGAAATGCGATTTATCAGAACTGACTGGCCCTAGATTATTTACTAGCAGCTGAAGGAGGAGTCTGAGGAAAATTCGATCTAACCAACTGCTGTCTGCACATAGATGACCAGGGGCAAGCAGTAGAGGATATTGTGTGAGACATGACCAAACTGGCACACATGCCTGTACAGGTGTGGCATGGATTTAACCCTGAGTTTTTATTTGGAGGCTGGTTCTCATCCTTGGGGGGTTTCAAAACCCTCATCATAAGTGTTATAATAATAATAGGTGTTTTTTTACTGCTCCCTTGTCTACTCCCCCTGTTCCTTCAGATGATTAGGGGATTTGTCACTACTGTAGTTAGCCAAAAAGTGACATCACAAGTGTATTATATGAAACATTATCAGTCTGTTTCTTCAGAAAATCTGGAAAGTAAGAATGAAAGTGAGACCTCTCACTAATGTTGTAAAGTGGTGAGGGTCTCAAAGCAGGGGCCGAAGAGGGAGACCCAGGCATCTCAGATCAGCTTCCCCTTTTCATTCCTAAGACTGTAAAAGGAAGCCCTTTTCATATGTAATTCCTGAGACTGTAAACTGGAACCCTTTTCATATGTAATTCCTAAGACTGTAAACTGAGACCCTTTTCATATGTAATTCCTAAGACTGTAAACTGAGACCCTTTTCATATGTAATTCCTAAGACTGTAAACTGAAACCCTTTCATATGTAATTCCTAAGACTGTAAACTGAGACCCTTTTCATATGTTAAGCTATAAACCTAAGATTCCTCCACGTGTAACATCTAAAGTGTAAACCTATATAAAGAAGGAACCTTACTTTGTTAGGGGAGCTTGGCTGTTAGGCAACTATGCCACCTTGCTCCTGGCCAAATAAACTCCTTCATCCTGTATTCGGTGTCTGAGAGATCTGTTTTCCCGCGGCCGCTCCTGCTACAGTAGGAGACAGTTCTTCCTTCACAGGAAGATTGGACCTGGTCTCTTAGTTCCTCTCAATTTTGAGATTCTGTGAGATTGAATCAGGGCAGAAAAACATACTTGATCTTTAAAGATTGAGTAGGATTTAAATGGATGGACAGGAGAAGGACTTTTGCTACCTTTTTTCATCTTCAGATATATGTGTAGTATATGTGTAGATGTATGTGTAGATACAGTATACATAAATATGTGTATTTTTTCTCCATTTACAGACATTTATAGTCTAATAAAAAAACTTCTTTGTTTTATATAAAGGTTTAGATCAGAACTAGTAAGACAGAATGCTGTTTTTTTCTTTTTTTTTTTTTTTTTTAAATATATTTTTCTTTAGGTTCTATGGGTACGTGTGCAGGTTTGTGATATGGGCAAATTGCCTGTTGCTGAGGCTTGGTGTACAGATGATCCTGTCACTTAGGTAGTAAGCATAGTACCTGACAGTTAGCCTTTCAAGCCATATCTCCGTCCCTCTCTGTCCCTCAAACAGTCCCCAGTGCTGTTTTTTACATCTTTGTGTCCACGTTGACATGCTGTTCTTATCAGATTTTTTTAAAGGACGTGAAAAGAGGGTTTGATTATATCAGAAGCCCCCAAAAGAAGTACTACAGTGGAATCAAGGCATAGTAAAATATAGTTTATCTTTGACATTTGCAAAGGATGCCACACCATAGCATAGAATTTCCTTCATTTCCTTTTAAAACAGGAATATTATTTTCCTACTATTGTTATGTGTTAAATGAGAACCTCAATGCCAGTTGAGATGGAAGTGCTAGGCAAAGCTTACTAGCTCTGATAACCTCCTACTTATGAGTTCCAAAGCATGTTTTAATCCTTTGGCTCAGCAAAATGACATATCACTCCATATAAGCAAGAGTGCTTTTAAATAGTTTGTTGTCAATGTTAAATCCTTATGTGTTCATTTCCTTATTTGCCTGGCTGTTTTCTATTTACCTTTCATGTCTCAATTTAAATTTCATATTTCTTTGGTCTCAGAGTGATAGAAAGTAAATAATACATTCTTTTTTCCTGAGACAGTCTTGCTGTCGCCCAGGCAGCCTCTGCCTCCTGGGTTCTAGGAATTCTCCTGCCTACGCCTCCCAAGTAGCTGGGATTACAGGCACGTGCCACCACGCCCAGCTAATTTTTTTATTTTGGTAGAGATGGGATTTCACCATGTTGGCCAGGCTGGTTGAACTCCTGACTTTGTGATCCCCCTGCCTTGGCTTCTCAAAGTTCTGGGATTACAGACATGAGCCAGCCTACCTGGCGTAAATTATACTGTTATTTTAATTCTGCTACTACTGCAAGAAAAGCAAACATTTTTTGTGTTAGAGCATTATTTGTATAGATTTTAAGAAAATCTCTTTTTAAATACGGAAATGTTAAGGAAAATTATTGTGCCTTTGATCAGAATGTGCCTTTAATTGTATGATTAAATCTAACTATAAATACCATGGTATAAAATAATTATATATATATGTATTTTTTTTTTCACAGTAATCATGTGAACCCCTCCACCTCTCTCTGTATATATATATGTATATGTATGTTGTTTTTTTTCATCCACCGTTTTTTTTTTTTTTTTTTTTCATTATTAGGTATCAATTTTTTTTTTCTTTTTTTTTTTTTTGCAGTGATGTGTGTTCTGAAATTGTGAACCATGAGTCTAGCACTTAATGAGTTGCTTGTTTGCTGCCGTCATCTAGAACATGATAAAGCTACAGAACGAAAGGTAGTAAATTACTTAAATTCAATTTTTCCTTGAAATACGTGTGATTAGTAATCCATTATTGTCTCCTTTTTCTTGTCAGAAAGAAGTTGAGAAATTTAAGCGCCTGATTCGAGATCCTGAAACAATTAAACATTTAGATCGACATTCAGATTCCAAACAAGGAAAATATTTGAATTGGGATGCTGTTTTTAGGTATTGTATTCAATTATTTTACTGTCTTTATTTTTCTCTTTTATATTTATTTCTGTTGTGATACTATTTTTGTGTGTAAGTCTGCAAATTTATCTTTGCTTGTCATTGTGCCTTGCATATGAATTTGGCATTTAATATTTATCCAAAACTTAATTTTTAAAGGTTGTTCATATAGAAACTTAAAAATTATAAATCATTTCTTCAATAAGAAGTTTTAGACTTATCTCACTCAAAATTGAGAGATAATTTCTTTCATATCAATTAGTTCACAAGACTTCAGATTAGAGAAAAAAATTATAATAAATATTTGGATATTACTTTCATACCTTTAAATATTGCTCTGAGTATAAGTAAATGCCATGTGTTAAATGGTAATAAAACAAGTAAAGGAAGATTGGAATATTTGCATATGAATTCAGTTAAAAATAACAAGAAAACCCCTTAAGCAATGAAAAACCACAATTGATTGCTGGACAGGAGTGGCAAACAGGGTTGATGCAGTTTTACATTGAGACATCATTTTCAACCATGAAATCCGTTTATAATTAGAGACAGACTGTAAGGATTAGGAAAGATGAATAAAGTATTTTTAAGTATTTTAAATACTGAAAGTATTAAATAACTAGAAATAACATTTGTAGTGAAGAGGAAGTATGTATTTAGTTGTCCTTCAGTGTTTAGGACTGATTCTATTTTATTTTTAGCTCCTATTTGAATGCATATAACATGAAAAATTCATGCTCTTTTTCCTCTGGTTTTCTAGTTTATTTAAAATACCACAAATATAACCTGAAGAGGAATACTATTTTTTATAAGCTGATCCAGTAGGTCAGGTATGCACCCAGCACTCCTGGCTAGTTATGAATATCTTCTAGGCAGGCTTCATTTAATGGCTAACAACATTACCAGCTGCCTAAGAAATAGGTAGATCCCGTGCAGAATAACAGGAGTTGAGAGAGACCTCAGAAGCATTATAAGCTTTTAATGATAAATTTAGAAGGCAAGCAGTAAAGTAGTAAAGCAGTAAAGCGGTAAAGTCATAGAAGATTAAGGGCTTCGCAGACCAGACATTAAATTGGTGTTGTTTATAGGAGTTAGGCCTTGAAAGAGATATTAAATTGTTTCATTTGTTTTATTCATCTGGTATAGTAATCTGAGCAAGGTAGTTTAAAAGTTGCTCTTTGTGATGGCATGAATGGCTTTTGAAATTATTATAATTTAAGTAATGAGTTTCTGAAATTGCATTTTGTATTCTTGAAGATTTTTACAGAAATATATTCAGAGAGAAACAGAATGTCTGAGACTGGCAAAACCAAATGTATCAGCCTCAACACAAGCCTCCAGGCAGAAAAAGATGCAAGAAATCAGTAGTTTGGTCAAATACTTCATCAAATGTGCAAATAAAAGTAAGTGATGTTTTAAATTATAAATAAATGGCTTAACAGATTACTGTTGCAGGAGGTTTTTTTTTTTTTTTTTTCCAGATTATTTTAAGGACTTTAACTGTTGAATAAGTTTCTTCTAAATATAGTAAGATCAAAGTTGAGTATGAGTACATATAATGATTTTTATTTTTATTAAAAAAGTTCTTTTTAAGGCTAGTCAGAGGAAGCAGTGGGAGTGGAAAAGAAACAAATCTATAACTGGTTGTGATCAATTAGTTCTAAACACCACTGCTCTCCACCAGCCTGATTTTTAATACTACAGATTCAAATATTTGAGGAAATTTATGCAAGCATAGAATGACAGAAATGTGAGGATTGAAGGGATTTACTTATTTATTTAAGAGATAGGGTCTTGCTCTGTCACCCAGGCTCGAGTGCAGTGGTATGATGATAGCTCACTGCAGCTTCAAGCTTCTCAGTTCCTAAGTGATCCTGCTGTCTTAGCCTCCTGAGTAGTTAGGACTATAGATGTGCATCACCATGCCAGGCTAAATTTCTTCTTTTTTTAAAGAGATGTTATCTCACTGTTTTGCCCAGGCTGATCTTGAGCTCTTGGCCTTAAGCAGTCCTCTCCCTGCTCAGCCTCCCTAGTTATTGGCATTCCAGATGTGAGCCACCGTGCCTAGTGAAGGAATTAAAAATTACTGTGTTAATTACCCAGTCTTGGATCCCCTCTATACGTCCCCAGCCCTTTGGTACAGTCTTAATGATTGAATATACTTTCAAGACTCTCTTTTCCATCTTTGAATAGCATTAAGTGTATTAAAAACCGACTGGGGGCAGTGGATCACTCCTGTAATCTCTAGTAATCCCAGCACTTTGAAAGGCTGAGGCAGGCAGATCACCTGAGGTCAAGAGATGAGACCAGCTTGGTCAACATGGCAAAACCTCGTCTCTACTAAAAATACAAAAATTAGCCAGGCATGGTGGCACACGCCTGTAATTCCAGCTACTTGGGAGGCTGAGGCACTAGAATCATGTCTCAAAAAAAAAAAAAAAAAATCAGGAAAGCCCTGAAATTGGTAAATATTTAGTAGAAGTATGCAGATTATTAGTGAATGATATTTCAGAATGGTGTTATGAGACTTGAGTCTAAGGAACAATGATTTAGTACGTTTTCCACCTTTTCTTAGTTGCCAATATGTGTAGGTAGCTTGAAGCCCTTGTCAGAGACTCCAACAGAGACAAAGGAAAGCTACAATGAGATATTCTACACCCGATTTTGCTCTATGTGGTGCAAAATATTGTATTTGCTAGTAACATTGGGATGTAGTAGGTACTTAATAAGAGAGTGAACGACAGAAAGATAACACATCAATTTTGCAGCCCACCAGAAAAGTTTGCAGCATGTACAATAATTTTGCCTTGCAGTGAACAGACCTTTTAACTGCAAAATTAACAATGGAGATTACATTTGAAAATACATCGACATGTTGGTTTATAAGAAAGAGTTGGTGGAATTATCAATGCAGGTCATGTAAATAGTTAGAAATTAATGTTTTTATTTACAGCTTCCTTTTCTTTCAAATCTGACTTTGTAACTTAATCCTCTTGAATCTTGGGACAAAACCAGGGAGTTACTACTCCCTCACCCCATTTCAGCTGTTTTTTCCCCCAAAAGATTGGAGGGTTGATGAAAATTTAACATATGTCTAGACTTTGCCAGTCTTGCTTAGCATTGGTATCCAAGGTATGATGATAGAAATAGGGATTAGAAAAAAAGAAGTGAAGGTTAGCTGAGAAGAAACAAGTAAGCAAATATTGTTCATTTGTCTCTTTTTTT